GTCCCAAGAAGGTTTCTTTTGTGAAAATTGCCAAGCTATAGTAAAAGCTGTTATTCCCAAGTAACATTAATGTGATATATCTTTTTCAATGGTCATAGTTTTAATATAAAATACTTATTATTTTATACATTACTGATATTTTATCAATAGGTTCATGGTAGACTGTGAAATACTGGATGATAGTGGATCATGTCATGATGTAATTTTTGATCAAGAATTGTCCAAACTGCTTGGATGTTCTACAACTGAGTTGAAGGCATGTCAGACTAATCAAGTTGTTAAACAGCAAGTGTACAAATTGTTTTGTGTCATGCATGTTTTTAATCTTGTGCCATTTATATTTTCTAACTGTTCGTCAATTATTTATCAAGAATGACTTCGATAAAGGTATATTGTCGTATATTCTTGAGTAGATATCTTGGAAGAAGTATTTGTTCAAGATATGTATTCCAGGAGATTATATCAATGGGAGTTCCCATATGTGTGTGGCTACTTGGTTGACAAACGATAAAACCATAATACAGTCTTTCCTGAACACATCGCATGAAGATGCTACATCAGAGGGTTGTACTTCCATTGGTCTCATAGAAGAAAACATTTTCCATTATATCATTTTATTTATGTTTCAGATGCATTACACAAATATATATATGTTTCTGTACACCTAAGTCTTTCTATATATGCAGAATGCTGAGCAGTGCCTGGTAAAATCATCTGATGGTGCAAGTTCTTCTGCTAATCAAACTGTGCATGCAAATCTCCCTAAATTATCAAAGTTTGACTTAACCTCTACACACCAAGTGGCAATTGCAACAGGCCCAAGTCTTAAAGCAATAAAGTCCATAGTAGAATTTGAAGTTGCAATTGTAAACACTACTAATGTTAAGAAGGCAAGCCCATTTGGTAATTTCCTATCGGCCAACTGTCAATTGTCAAGTTGAGGTAGAGAGTAGTGAGCACAATGATGGTTTCGTGGAAATCCCTTCTGCTACATCTAGACATAATGTTGTGAAGAGCAGTATTGAAAATATGTTAAATCATTCACTTGGTGAAAATCTTGAAGTTGATGAAAATAACACATCGTTTGCAAGACGTCACAGAGCAAAATGCAAACAAATCTTGGAAGAATAAGCTTGAGTTGATGATTTCGAACTTTATGTCCCGTTGTTAATTTTATTTTTAGCTCCTATTCCTAATTTGGTGCTTTGAATATGTTTTTAGGTTATGCATTTATTTTCATTTATTGTGTGTTGGTCGTCTTCCTAGAGATAATTATGCTTTTTATAATGGTCAAACAATTTCGTTTGTTTCATTTCATACATATATGTTTATTTTCTATAATTTATATTTCGTCCTGCAACCATTAAGAAAAATGTGATACATATTTTGTCTATTTCGATATTCATATATTTTACTTTTTTTTACCTGCCTGTCATTATAAATAACATATGTAATAATGATGTAACTTCTGCTTTTTTTTCCCTTTGGTCTATTGAGATGCTTGCACAAACTTAAAAAAACAAGATAAACTCCTAATAAAAATTTAATGCATATAGCTAAGATGCATGGCATATGTATTTATTTGTATTATCCACTTGCAGGACTTTGTTTTTTTTTTTTTTGAGCAATTATCCACTTATGTTGTGACTTGTGAGTGGTATCCACTTGTGTTGCAATAGATTTAAAAATATCTAAATCTATCCATATCTTATATGCCATGTTGTTTTTAGGGCCATTGACAATTTAATAAATTTTGACTTAAGGTAGGGTGTTTGTGACAGCAGTGTCAAAAAAGGAAAAAACAAACAAGAAAAAAATTGCCTCTAATAAAACTGTATATAATATTTCTTGTGCGGTTACGATCTTAGGTCTTTTTCTTTGTGGCCAGATGACGATCTTAGGTTTGAATATATACTTTTCTTCTCTATTTCAGGTCACACATTGGTGAGAATATATGGAACGACTGCAGCATCAAATCAAAATTAATTAAAAAAGAAATAATCACTAATATGATGTACTCCTCCGGTCCTAATTATAAGACCCAATTGATTTATTTGAAGAGATTAAGGAAGTAAGTTAAGTTGGTTATTTATAATAAATAAGTGTTGTCATTCCTAAAATATCCTTGCTAATTAAGTATATTGGCTAAAACTATCATTATTAGAAGGATTATCTTGGAAAAAAATACATAAATATAAGAGACAAAATGGATTGGGTCTTATAATTAGGACCAAATAAAAAGTCAAATTGGGTCTTATAATAAGGACCGGAGGAGTAATATAACTTTGTGATTATAATTTATATTACGTAATGTATATTTAGATTATTTGTTCTGACCTCTTCTGCTACCATTCATGTAAATAAAAATATTAATTTTAGATCAAAATGGAAATACAATAAACAAAACTTGTAACATTGTGTACAAAGAAATCTTTTGCAAGTTGACTATTTAATTAATTAAAAAGGTCAATTGGTCTTTGTAATGACATATGGTTAATTATGATTATATTAACAAAACATGTTAGAAGAGCATATAGAATATTTAAGAGCAATGATGTTTTGAATATTTTGAAAATAATGATCTTAAATGATAGAAACGTCACAAAATTTTTTTTTCAATATTACTTACAAAAAAGCTTTTTATATCTTCCCAAAATTTTTTTTTTTATAATCTTATATCTTAAGCATATATATGAATTTTTTTTTTGGGTGACAGAAGCACATATATAGACATATAAATTTAACTAATGTAACTAATCACTATATAGCGATTGAACCATTTATACTTTATATAAAAAAATACTAATTTACATCCGTGCATTGCTCTGGTACTGTACTAGTTAAGTAATAAAGTATCTAGAGGAATATGCATTATCAGTTTACCACTTCATTCAATTTCAACAAACAATAATATAATTATAAACCGAGTCACAACAAGTTAGAAAAGTTCTAGAAGATCGTCACCCAATTGATAAAATAAAAATAAATAAAATAAAGTTATACAAATGAAACTACAACATAAAGTTTGGGGGTCACGCATTAGGGAAATAGGACCACGGAACAATAGTTGAAGAGGACTAATATACTTTCTAAAATTTTTTGTAGGAACTTAGAATGAAATTCAAAATAAATTTGCATGAAAAAAATGACCAAAATATCATTGTTTATTAAAAAATATATATAACAAGGCCAAAAAAATTTTTAACCAATTTTGCTGGTGGCCAGACCATTGGCATTGGCCGCCAAAGCCCTGTAACTGGTTGCTCAATGTGGTTATGGGATTTGAACGTGCACTAAAAGAATATTAAACTACTAGTACTAAGTCACCAATGTTTCTTTAATCATACAATGCAAAATGTTATATGCTAAAAATTTAATTTTAATTTTCAAATCGTTTACTTTTCAAATGCTTAAATCATCAGCTTATTATTTCATTAATGTTTATCTGTTAAATTATTAAGGAAAACTTATCCAAAAGGTTCTAGATTATAAACTTGTCAATTAAGGTTCCAGATTATAAACTTGTCAATTAAGGTAAAATTTACTACCTCCGGTCCGGAGGTAGTACTTTTCAATTTATTAAAAGAAACTTATCAATTAAGTTCAATGTACACAAAATGTCTTAATAATATTTTTTTTAATATAATACAATTAAATATATTTATGTGCATAAATATGTTAATGTTAGGCTCAAATCCACCATCCCATTCAAGTGTGGCAGGTGTTGTTGTTGTTGAAGCAACTACTTGTTAACAAATCTCTTAATAGTATAAGGAGTATTTATCACAAACTTAAGTAAACTTGTTTTTTTAATTAAAATTTACTTGTTAAGTTATTAATCTACATTACATTTATGTATATAATTCTATAATAGAATTCAATACATCACAATTCAAAACTAAATCAAGTTATTAGTTAAGATGGTAACTGTCTCATCCCGTTAGAAAGAGAATACAAATTCAAATCTTGTGAAACGTATTTGTTAGAAAACCTTTAATTGTAACATTCCTGATTCAATAAAAATTAGTCTTAAATTCAAAGTGATGAAACTTTAAGTTTATATAAAATAAAAAAAAAGTTCAAAGCTACAGAAATCTACATTTGAAAATCCATCTCTTCAATGAAGAAAAACGCAAAATCGCAGGAAGAATGAAGGGTAAAGTTGCAGCTGAAAATGAATAGAGAAGAAAAAAAATAAACCTAATCCTTTTTTTATAACATTATTTTACTCCTCCCTTTGAATGTCGGCAAAATCCCCTAAGCCTAATATTTTAATATTAAAAAAATAAAACTCTCCTTACTTTTAAACATCCTAATTCCTATTTACATAAATTTATCGATAATAATAATAATAATAGAATTTCATGATGACAGTCGATTTCAAGTCCAATCAATTACCGTCATTGATCATTAGTAATTTGTTTTAAAAATTTACACAAAATAAGATAATATTCAATACATATTAAAAGGATAATTTATCAATTAAATCCCATAAAGTATAAAATGGCTTATAAAATAAAATGAAGCTAATTAATCTCAATTAGCCCCAATTCATTAATTAAAAAAACCAAGCAAAAAGGAAATGTAAACATAACAAAATATGATTTACTAAATATTATTATAATATTTATAAAAAAATTTGTATCATTTAAAAGTCAGAGGATTGCATTTAAACACTGTCCAAGTTTGCATGAAAGATAAGGATCATGGTCTGCTCAATTTTTATTAATATGGTCATGTGGTGCCATCAAGAATTGGCAAGATTTTGGTACAGGCAAAGAAGCTGGAAACAACCATCTTAATTCTCAGAAATTTTCTGGATTGGTGAAAATTTATTAAGATGAGAAAGTGACACCAACAAGTTCTTAATACGTAAAGTATATGCACCTATAAAACTTAACTGTACAGTAATATTTACAAAACCCCATGCTATGTGCATACAAACTTCCCCAGAAGTGGGGTCAACGTTCTTCTGAAACTTTGGTGTTCCTTATCCAGGTTTAAACTCTTGGAGATATATGAACTTGTAATGGATTCTTCATCATCACAGTGAACACCTGGTTCTCAGATAAATCAACATCACCATTTGAAACCTTCCACTCAAAATTCCAAAACAGATTGGCCACAAAGTACTCCAAATGAAACATTGCCAAATTATAGCCCGGACAGATTCTTCTCCCTGCTCCAAAGGGTATCATCTTTATCTCTTTGCTTCCTGTAATATCAAACACTTCATCTCCATCCTTCTCCATGCTCAAGAATCTCTCTGGCTTAAATTCCATTGGATTCTCCCACACCTTTGGGTCCCATCCCATCTCTGCAACTAAGAAATTTATAGTTCCATTTTTGGGTATCAAGAAACCATTCAATACCACATCCTCTTTCACTGCATGTGGCAGAACAAAATGTGCGGGTGGGTGACGCCTTAGTCCCTCCAAAATCACAGCTTTAAGATATGGCAATTTGTTCAGATCCTCCTCTTTTACTTCTTTCTCCTTTCTATCTCCCATCACACCTCTAATTTCCTCCACAAGCCTCTCTTGTATATGTGGGTATTTCACTAAATTTGCCATAATCCATTGCAGCGCCGTAGCTGTTGTGTCTGTGCCTGCATTTATGAACTCTGAACTTACAGAAACAATTTCAGATTCTTCAAGACTACGCTTCTCCTCTGGCCACTCCAAATCCAGCAAAGTATCCACATAAGGCACAATAACTCGATCAGAGTTATCACTGTCCTCTTCAGCTCTGGTTAATCTCTCTTCCTTGGCTTTCTTCCTCGCTCTGATCAGTGGAATCAGAACACTTTCCTGTTCTTTCCGAGTCTGGAACAATTCCTGCCACCGCTCGCGGAACAATATCCGAGTGATTTATAAGTATGATAAGCTTAGTTTGTAAATTTAAGAGCTGTTGATCACATCTTTTGGCTAATCTGATTTATGAGTCAAAAGCTATTTCTTTATGATTGTAAAAGCACCTAAACTTATAACTTATGCAAAAGTAGGTTTTTAGAATTAAAAGAAATTTTTTGCCATTGTGTTTATGTTGTTTTTGTGATTTTCTCTATATATTTTTTATGCTTTGTAATCAATTTTTAGTTATTTATTTTTAATATTTTCTTAAATAAAAATATTTTTTAACAGTTTTTATAATATTTTTTAATTTTTAATATTATTTTTTTTATATTTACATAAATTATACAAATTATATCATCCAATTAATTATGTAGTATTATCTGGTTAAAAAAATTTCACATTATTATGGTTTCCAATTTAAATATTTTATTCATTAATAAAACTTTTTCCTATTATAATAATTTAAAATTATTATATTTTGTAAATTCATATTTTAATCATTTTTTATTATCTAATAAAAGTTATACCCATTTTGGTTAGTCTACAAATTAAACTTACTTATTCAATCATAATCCAAATAATTCTTTTACTTTACAAACTAATTTTTATAAAAATCAATCCAAATATAAATTTTATTACTCAATCTAACTTTTACCCTTTTAGATTAAAAATAAGCTTTTTTTTTTTTGTAACCGCTAATTCAAACCAAGCCAACACATTCCAAAAGTCATATGTATAATAAAAAGTCGTATGCATCTTCACTGTGCTGCAAACAAACAATACGCCGCTGGCCAAAAAAAATAAAACAATAGGCCATGTGACACTCATTATCTATATAAATATATATATATATATATATGTTATTAAAGACTACTGTATTTGATTTTTATTACAGTCTTTCGTAATATAATATATATTTTGTTTAAAGTATTTATTTTTATTTAAATTAAAAAATTTCTAATTAGCCAAACTCTTCTAACTAATAGCTTTTTTTTTTCTTTGGTTCAAAGCTATTTTGATATTTTATGGGAAATAATTAACTCTAAATAAATTTATTAATATTTATATACATGTAACGTCGTTATTAATTAGGTGGTTAAAATAAGAACCAACAGAAGGATTTTCCCTTTTTAAATATAAGACATTTTTATTATCGCTTCTACTCCCTCGAAAAAAGGAGGTGATTCAGGTTTCAAGTTTGCAGATGTTCGAATGAAAGTGTGGTTGTTCATTAAACAAGCACCAAACAAACAAAGACAGCTTGCCATGGATGATTACAAGAACAGCGTCCCAAAAATACTTATATTATTCCTGGTATGGGTCTGATCTAAAACCTTGGAGATAAATATGCCTGTAATGGATTCTTCATAACGACGGACAGTTCCTGTTTCTCAGACAAATCAACTTCACTATTTGAAACCTTCCACTCAAAACTCCAAACCAGATTCGCCACAAAGTACTCCACATGAAGCATTGCCAGAACATATCCTGGGCACATTTTTCTTCCCACCCCAAATGGCATCATTTTAATCTCTTTCCTTCCAGTAATATCAAACGCTTCACCGCCATTTCTCTCACTACTCAAAAACCTCTCTGGTTTTAATTCCATTGGATCTTCTCATACCTCTGGATCCAGCCCTATCTGAGCCACCATGAAGTTTATAGTCCCATTCTTAGGAATCAGGTAGTCGTTGAGAACAGAATCCTCTGAAACTGCATGTCATACTACGCAAGTTTAAATTTTAACTTTTAAATTAAGTAACGATGATTAACGTCATGAGCTACCACTAGGTTCCTTTTGTTGACTGAGAGGCCGCTGCCCCACTTTGCTAGCACTGCTCAAATATTCTTTTTTTTTCCCCCTCTGCAACAAAGAAAAATATAACTCTTTTTATATGAATAAACAAGTATATATCAGAAAATTACAAACCATCATGTGGTGGGATTGGCAAGACCTTATTAAAGCTGAAGAAGCTGGAAACAACCATCTTATCAATTACTCACAAATTTTCTGGTAGGTAGATATCAAACTGAGTAAATTTATTTAACACTATACGCTAGTTGTAAGTAATGTTACAAACCTCATGCTAAACACAATCACATGTCCTAAAACTTTGATAATCATACTTGTCTGTGCAGGGTTAAAACCTTGGAGATATGTGAACTTGTAATGGAGTCTTCATTACCACAGTGAATTCTTGTTTCTCAGATAAATCTACACCACCATCATCACTATTTGAGACCTTCCACTGAAAATTCCAAACCAGATTAGCCACAAAGTACTCCAAATGAAACATGGCCAGATTATAAGCCGGGCACATCCTTCTCCCAGCTCCAAACGGCATCATCTTTATCTCTTTGCTTCCTGTAATATCAAATGTTTCATAATTATTCTCACTATTCAAGAATCTCTCTGGCCTGAACTCCATTGGATTCTCCCACACCTTTGGGTCCCTTCCCATCTCTGCTAACAAAACGTTTATAATTCCATTTTTAGGTATCAAATAATCATTCAACACTACATCCTCTGTTACTGCATGTGGGATCACAAAATGTGCGGGTGGATGGCGCCTTAGTCCCTCCAAAATCACAGCTTTAAGATATGATAATTTGTTCAGATCCTCCTCTTTCAATTCCTTCTCCTTTCTTTCACCGATCACATCTCTAATTTCCTCCACAAGCCTCTCTTGTATATGTGGATTCTTCACCAGATTTGCCATAATCCAATGCAATGTCGTCGCCATTGTATCTATCCCGGCACTTAGAAACTCAGAACTTATGGCTACGATTTCAGATTCTTCAAGCTCACGTTTCTCCACAGGCCACTCCAATTCCAGCAAAGTATCAACGTAAGGCACAGCAAGTTCCTCTGAGCTTTTCACTCTGTTCATTCTCTCTTCTTTGGCTTTCTTCCTCGCTCTGATCAGTGGGATGAAAAGATTTTCCCGTTCCTTCTTAGTCTGCAACATTTCCTGCCACCTCTTGAAAAACAGTATGCTGGTTAGTCTTGGCCAGAAATCCAGCACCCTGAATCTGTTAAAGCTCATAATTACACGGCGTTGAACATCGTCGATATCTTTGATTTGTTCCTCATCTAACTTTTCACCGAAGCACATGAAACCCATCAAGCAGAACATAGTGTATTGAAGATGGTCAATCAACTTGATAGAATTGCTTGATCCAGCATCAGACTTGAGCCGATTGATAAGAATGTCCAGGACCCATTTACGAGAACCTGAAAAGGATTTAATCCGGGTCGGATGAAGCATCTCGGAGGTGAAGTTGCGGCGGAGGGCGCGCCATGTGGGGCCGTAGAAGGCGGTGTTAATGTCATGCTGAACACAACTGAAAAACTTAGTAGCGATAACTGGCTCAGGGCGGTCGGAGAAAATGGCGCCGTTTTGAACAAGGGCTTGGTGGGCGAGAGAATGATCAGCGATATATATAAGTGGACGAGACTTAACAGGAAAAGTGAAGATGGGACCGTATCTGGCACGAAGATCTCGGAGTAAAGATTCAATTTCTAAGATTGGTCTGCGAAGAAAAAGAAGATTGGTGATGGGAATACGAGGAGGGCCAGGTGGTAGCAGAAGAGTGGGGCGAGAGGAAGAAAGAAGATTGAAGAAAGCTTGAATGGTCAGGCAGAGACAGAGAGAGACGAGGAGGACGAACCAGACTTCCATGGTTAGGAATGAAGAAGGTGATGGACGAGTAATGAAGTGGGAAAACCTCAGTGAAAACCTCAGTGAGATGCCGGAAATTTAAAGGGAGGAACATAATTAGTGACGTTATCTAGAGAGGTTGGAGCACAGAACAAGTTAGTCCAACTTTGAATCTTTATGTGACCTCCAAGCTATCGATTAAATAAATTACTGTGTTTCTTCAAAGAATTTTCTCTCAGGGGGTGTTTGACTAAAACTAAACTATGATTTAGAGAATAGTTTCTGAAAAATAGATTTTTAGAAGAATAAATTTTGTAAAGAAATAATTCTGATAAAGTGAGAGTGTTCAGATAGCTGTTATCAGAAGTACTTTTTATATGTGTTAATTACTAAAAAAGCACAAATTAATATGATAATTACATAAAAGATAGATTTTATAATAGATTTTAATTTGAAGGAATAAAATTGTTAATAATTTTTTTACCAACATAATTAATGACATATAAGATAATGTAATTAATAATTAATTAATATTTTTATATATATTTATAAAATATAAGATTAAATATATTTATAAAAAATAATTGAGGGGTATTAAAGTCATATTATCGTTGAAATCTACTCTGACAGACATAATCATACTCTCCAATTTGAGTCAAAAGCAGAATGAATTCATTTTTTCTGAAACCATCCAAAATCATGGTTTTGAATCCAAAACCATGATTTTGGCCCCAAACCATGGTTTATCAATTTTACCTCCTGTTTGACAACTTTTTTTCTCAAACCATGGTTTGAAATGTTACCCAAACTTAGGGGAAATCACAGGCAAGGACCTCACTAGCACCATATTCGCATGGGAGAGTTCCTAATTTGAGAGAGTTTTATTATTTGAGCTTTACGACTAAATTTCTGTATATGATTTACATTTCCAACTAAACACCAAGCTTCTATAGTGTCAGCCAGCATACTAATTTTTGTTTCCCCCAACTCAGGATCTTGGGTGCAAATATGTTTTCACCATGGTTCCTGAATGTGATTTTCCTTTCACAACTAGTATGTCTACCTTATGTGCTTAGCCCTGTTTATAATTAATACTCATCTGTTCTTTAATACGAGACCTATTTAATTAATCTGATTAGATTAAAAAAGTCAGGTAAGTTAGTTAATTATAAGAAATAAAATATGTTTTTCCTAAAACATCATAATCATCTTCTTTAATATCTTACTACTACTCCCTCTTACTTGATTATTGTTAAAGGAGTATCAATAGGAGTAATTTAGAAAAAAAAAATGATACATATGAGAAATATGTCTTATATTTAGAACCAAAATCAACTCAACAATTAAGTCATATATTAAGGACCGGAGGAGTATTTGCAAAACGTCTCAACTTTTCTTGATTAATTTTGTGTTTTTCTCTCATTATTCACTTATTATAATACTCAATATGTTTAGGCTAAATGATATATTGGATATTTTAACTTTGTATAATATTTTAATTTGGTCCTTTTATTTTTAAAAGTATATTTTTGTTAATTTACCTCTAAAATCACTAGGTCTAAATAATGCTTTTTTGTAACAATTATAACTGTTTTGAGAATATGTTGGTATTTAAGAATATTTTATTAAATATAAGATCTCAATACCATCATTTTTTGTTAATAATTTTAGGGTTAGAGAATTAAAAGTATACTTTCTAAAATTAAAAAAAACTAAATTAAAATATTGTACAAAATTAAACCTTGCATATTTTAACGATATATTTATTATATCATTTTTTGAAGTATTATTCAATTTATTTTTATAATTTCCTTATACTTTATCTCTCCTAAATTTAAGAAAAACTTAAAATTTTTGTATATTTTTCTTCTTTAACTAATTTGAACTTACTTTTTGATCGATTCACGTCTTAAATCTCTCCCTTAAAAAGAGACAGAGCGGGTGTCAATTTTTTCTTCAACTTTTTTAAGGTGGCGCATTAAATAGTAAAGCATCTAGAGGAATATGTATTATCAGTTTACCACTTCATTCAATTTCAGCAAACAATAATATAATTATAAACCGAGTCACAGCAAGTTAGAAAAGTTCTAGAAGATCATCACACAATTGATAAAATATAAATAAATTAAAATAAAGTTATAGAAATAAAACTACAACACAAAGTTTGGGGGTCAAGCATTAGGAAAATAGGACCACGGAAGGAGTTTAATAGTTGAAGAGGACTAATATACTTTCTAAAATCTTTTGTAGGAACTTAGAATGAAATTCAAAATAAATTTGCATGAAAAAAATGACCAAAATATCATTGTTTATTAAAAAAAATCTATAACAAGGCCAAAATTTTTTTTTTAAAAAATGTATCCTCAACTAGTTTTGCTGGTGGCCAGACCATTGGCGTCGGCCGCCAAAGCCCTGTAACTGGTTGCTCAATGTGGTTGTGGGATTTGAACGCGCACTAAAAGAATATTAAACTACTAGCACTAAGTCACCAATGTTTCTTTAATCATACAATACAAAATTTTATATGTTAAAAATTTAATTTTAATTTTCAAATCGCTTACTTTTCAAATGCTTAAATCATCAACTTATTATTTCATTAATGTTTGTCTGTTAAATTATTAAGGAAAACTTATCCAAAAGGTTCTAGATTATAAACTTGTCAATTAAGGTCAAATTTACTACCTCCGCTCCGGAGGTAGCACTTTTCAATTTATTAAAAGAAACTTATCAATTAAGTTCAATTTTTTTAATATAATACAATTAAATGTATTTATGCGAATAAATATGTTAATGTTACGCTCAAATCTATCATCCCATTTAAGCGTGGTAGGTGGTGTTGTTGTTGAGACAACTACTTGTTAACAAATCTCTTAATTAATATTATAGAGAGTATTTGTCACAAACTTAAGTAAACTTGTTTTTTTTTAATTAAAATTTACTTGTTAAG